AAGAGCGTTGGGCAGCTGAAACCGAAAACCACGTGGGACGTCGGCTAGCTCATGCGCAGTGGGCAGCCGTCCTAGGTATCGCAAGCCGACGATGTGGTCCTGGGTAAACGGTGGGTAGGTCAGCTTGCCCTGTGGTGTTCGTAGAGGCGTCGCAAAAACCTTGGTAGCATCAAGAACCTGGTCAGCGGCATCCGCGATCCGACGACATGTCTGCAAGAGTGGATGGTGCGACGGCCCGTCACGGTCACTATGTCGGAAACGGCGTGTCCGGTGACAGAACCATTCGCCATCCATGGCCCCGTCCGAGGCCCACGCCACAAATACACACGCCAGTAGAAGCCTGGGTAGCTGAGCCCGTAGGGCCCGAAGCGCACGTCTCCCAGCCGTGCGCTGATCCATCAGGTCGAGGGATCCCTGGAAAATCCAACTGCGACGGGGCTCACGGCCACTGTCGGACCTTTTGGGCGGAAATGCGAGAGCAGCGGCCTCCAAGATATGCCTGTTGAGATATGCGGCATGATCGTCTGGGTGCGTTGTGAACGTCGGCGAGGGCACCATACGGAGGGCATCTTCAAACGCAGCACGACACTCGGGATCAGCATACTTAGCCTCGTCGTGTCGGGAGCGTGTCCATGTGACGGCTGGCTCATACTGATCGGCACGGCACACGTACACATCAGCAGTTACCACAAAGTGGTCGTCACATCGCATCGCTAGCTCGATCTCGATATCGACTCCTCGACGAATGACGCTGGATAGTTGGCCCGTAGGGATCGTAATGTAGTCGATACGTCGTTGCGGATTTTGGCCCTGAGCCCCAGGCGGTAACCAGGTCCCATGGATCCCAGAGTATGACGGCAGAAACGTAGACAACGCACACTGGTCCGAGTCACGCAGGAACTTGTGAAAGCACTGTCCATTGGCATTTTCAACCTCGACCGCCACGTCACCGACATGATCTGACACCTGTGATCCCAAAGTCGCATTCGCATCCAATAGACAGTACAGGGGGGCCGGCTGGGTTCGCCCACGTAGCACGTATGGCTACCAACAAATGCCGAGACGAGAAACTGATGACACGTACGTGACGGCGCGCAAGCGTGTGCCCACATGCGTACTCATGTTGTGTGTTGATCCATAGGGCCACTCCTGCCTTCCCCTTGGATTCGGCTGCTGCGGTAATGACAAGAAAATCTCCTGCTGCTGTCCAACCGTTACGACACAACCGAGTCTCGAGCGTGCCAACCAGATGAAAGTTGTGCGCGGAGAACTGATGAGCCAGCGCGAGCATGCGTCCGGGCAAACCCAGGCCGGCCGCATCTTGGTACCGACACCGTATTCGAGTACCTCTCCCTCGTCGGGCTGCCTTCCTGCGGGGCTGCAGTGTGAGTACGTTCGCCACTGCAAAATTCACCTGCGGCTGCAAACCTGATGTCGGAGATACTCGAGGCACAGACGAGTTTTCCGAGCCGCGTCCAGCGGGTGGCAAGAAGGCAGTTCTGAGATCTAGCTCGGGAGGGTTGATGGAGGGCATTTCGCATGCGCCAACATTCGGATACTCCCCATGACCGACGTTGGTACTGGCAGACATCCACATCCATGGTACAAGAGAGGCTGACGTGAGCAAAACTGACCACGGTTGAAAGTCAGGCTCTACTGTCGGCGCAACTCCCATGGAGGCCAGTCGTGCTATGGTATCTGCAAGCTCATTCAGCGGATCGGCATTGTGGCCGTGAGCGTGATTCCAGCTCAGCTTCGTAAACTGGCGTAATAACTTGAGGGCTCCGTCAAAAAGCCATGGGAAATCACCGCACGACACATACCTCGTTCCCCCGTCGGCAGCGGAAACCACCAGCATGTTGTCTGTGTATACCACCACGGGTTGGGCCCGAAAACGAGGAGGAGCTTGCAATAACCATAGCACCAGCCACAGTGCAGCTTGAAATTCTGCAGCTCCAGACGGGCTCGCAACAGAGGTGGAGAGATCAGGATCGACACCACACAAGTACCCTTCACAGATGTACCTGCCAGTCGTCGTGACCGAAAATATGCACCATGCCCAAGACGGTGGTCCACCCAAGTGCTGTTGTTTGGTTCCACCAGACCCATCCGTATGTACCTCCATCCTGACAACCTGCTCACTGTCGGGGGGGGAGAAGCTCCGTGGGTCTCAAAAAAACGGCAGGTACTACTACGAAGGTAATGATGAAAGAGGCAATGTTCGGGCAATTGATTTGGCCCAAGAAAGACGGGAGTGAGAGAGCAAGATAGCCAGGGCTGACACAGTAGCCTGGCTAGCTCAGTGCAATCTGGAATTTGGCAGCATGGCTGCTGCTTGGCCTCGGACTCCATCCGAGGTGAGGGCGCGGCAGCACTCGTCGACCTTACCTCGGCGAGCGCCGCTGTGGGGCGGGGGCTTCGCGAGTTCCTTTCGGAGCGCCCACTATGGCCCCCGCCCCTCACGGATCGACCCTCGGTTCGGTCAACAAGGCCGCCGCCCGTGTCAGTCGGCCTGACTGGCGCAGCGCCAGTCGCAGGCGGGCCTTGAGACGGCTCAGTGGCAGCCCTCTCGCTCCCCGTGGCCCGCCCGCCGTGACACATCACCCCAGCGTCGACGTCGCTCCCTCGCTGCCCTCGGTGGAGCCGGCGCGGCCGCCGCACGGCATGAAGCCATCTGGCGCTTCGCGCCGTGGGCTGTGGCTGCGGCTGTGCCTCTGGCGGCGGCTGGCTGCACCTGCGACAGCATCCTCTCCTGCCTCTGCGGCAACGGCGGCACGGCCGCGCGGCGACGGCGGCAGGGCGCCGCGGCCTCGGTGGCTGCACGCACCTGGCCGCGCTGACGCCTGGCGAGCCAGCGCGTCTCGTAGTCCCTGCTGGCCATCAGGGCGACGTGCACGTTCTGCAGCCTTCCTCTCAGCACGTTGAGCTGCCCTCGCCTTGCGGGCTGCCTCAGCCGTGGCAGCCGCAGCAGCATCCTCCTCGGCGCTGACTGGCACCTCGACGGCGTCGGCGGCGGCGGGTCCAGCAGCGCCCCATGCAGCACCCACGGCGGCGCCCGCAGGCGGGGGCCCCCCTGGGGGCCTCGGGCCACAGGTGCGTCGGCCGGCACGGGGTAGGCCGCGGCGGGCGCCTCGGGCCTGGGCGCGGGGGCCACTGGCCCCAGGCGCTGGGGGGGCCCTGCAAAGGGCCGCACATCAGGCGCAGGCGCGTCGCCATGTGCCGCCCCACCGCGCGCCGCCGCCATCTGGCCCTGCATCGTCGTCAGCAGCTGCGTGAGGCCGACGAGCTGCTGGGTGAGGGCCGCCTGGCCAGCCTGCAGCTCGGCGATGGCCGCGATGGGCGGCGCGCGGTCGGGCGGCGTGGCTGGGGCTGCATCGCCCTCAGCGCCCGCCACGGGCGTCGGCGTGATGGGCTCCTCCATCGGCTCGTCGCCCGTGGGGACCATGGCCTCGAGCTGCTCTAGGAGCGTCTTGGCGCGGCCGAGGGCCTCGGCGCGCTGACCCACCTTGGCCTCCAACTCCGCGAGCTCCTCACGCGCCCGCGCAGCTGCGGCCTCGGCCTTCTCCAGCTTGGCCTGTGCACGCTGGACGAAGCTGCGCTGGCGGTCGCATCGTACGCCAGCTGGGCGGGCCAGGATGATCATGCTGAGCTGCACGGCGTACTCCTCCTCCTGCGGCCGCCTCTGCTCCAGGCTCATGCCGAGCTCGATGGCTGCCTGCAGCCTCTTGCCCGTGGCGGCCGCCATCTGGCGCAGTGAGCGCCTGTGGGCCGTGAGCCCGCGCTCATCCGACGGCGGCTCGACCCAGGCTGGGTGAGCTCGCGCATCCGACGGCAGCGCGGGGAGGATGCCGAGCGCGGGGCTGCGGCCGTCCTCGTCGCCATCTGATGCATCAGATTCGCCTCCAGCAGACCGCCTCCGACGGCCATCGCCGTCGGCGGAGCGCCGGCGGCGGCTCGAGGCCGACCTCGGCCGCGGATCGCCTCCGCCGTCCTCAGTGCCCTCGTCCTCGAAGCGGACTCGCGAGGCTGACCGCGGCCTCGGCTCCGCCTCCGGCTGACGTGCCTCGCCCTTGCCGCCGCGGCGGCGACGCCTCGAGGCAGAACGAGGCTGGCGGCCGTCTCCGCGCGGGCCCGCGCGCGGGCGGGCTGTCCCTCCTCCGTCTCCATGCATTGGTCCATGCTCGGGAAGAGGGAAACAGGAGCGGCACAGGGCATCAGCAGGGCCATTGAGTCCTCCGCACGTCGGGCACCACCATCCGGGCGGCGGCGGCGGCACGGCCCACGGGGGAGTGCTGCCACTCTGCCCGCTGTGGCCGCCGCCCGAGCTGCCCTTGCTGCTGCCCTTGCGGCCCTGGCCGCCCTTGCCGCCGCTTCCAGCACGGCCTGACATCAGCCCGTTGCTGTGGTGCGCGCGCAGCCTCGCCGCGGCAGCGGCGACTCGCAGCAAGGTGCGCGACTGCGTGCGCCGCTCGCGAGCGCGCCTGTGCCAGGCGGGCTCGCACACTCGCAGCCGGCGCCGCGCCCTGCTCGAAGCGGGCGCCCGCGCCGTCGTGCGCCTGCCCACTCTGGGGGCGTCGCACGCCGCAGCGCAGCAGCACGGCCGGCCCGCACGCCACCAGCGATGGCGCGGGCGAGCGCGTACGGCCGCCAGTCCCGCGAGGCTCCGCAGGTATCCTGTATACCTGCACCCAAAAGCCTCGGGCCGGGACGGCGGCTGGAGGAGGAGGAGGGAGGGAGGAGCAGGAGCAGGAGCTGGAGCTGGAGCTGGAGCTGGAGCTGGAGGAGGAGGAGGAGGAGGAGGAGGAGGAGGAGGAGGAGGAGCAGGAGGAGGAGGAGGAGGAGGAGGAGAAGGAGGAGGAGGCTGAGGAGGAAGAGGGTGTCAGGATGGGAGGGGCGGAGGAAGCTGGACGCGAGGGGTGGGCCGCTCCTCGAGCGCGTTCTGACGTGGACTCCGAGGCGGATCCAGCCGTGGAGCCGAGGGTCCTCCCCCGAGGGCCAAGAATCGTCCAAAATCCGCCTCCTCCTACTCCTCCTGCTCCTCCCCCTCCTCCTTCCTCCTCCTCCCCTTCCTCCTTCTCCCCCTCCCTGCATCCCACCTCCACGCGGCAATCCGTGTACGAGGGGGATATCGTATTTTTGCAACCCTCCTTCACGCGGCATTCAGCGCACGAGAGGCTTAGTTTCACTGCACGGTCCTCTTCCACGCGACAAAAACGTGTACGAGGGGGATTGTGTCTCTTTGCATCCCTCTTCCACGCGGCAATCCGTGTACGAGAGGGATATTGTCACTCTGCAGCCCTCCTTCACGTGGCATTCAGAGAGAGGCACATGTTATTTTTCAATGCGCAGTCTCCTCCACGCGACAAACAGATATACGAAGGGGATGATGTCTCTTTGCGTCCCTCCTCCATGTGGCAATCAGTGCACGAGAGGGATATCGTGTTTCTGCAGACCTCCTTCACGCGGCATTCAGCGTGCGAGAGGCTTTGTTTCACTGCGCAGTCCTCCCCCACGCGGTACAAAGGCGTACGAGGAGGATGTTGTTCCCAACCATCTTGTGATGTTGGGTCCTCGTTTTGAAGAGACGGTGGCCCGCGTCTCATCTCATACTCTCCTCCTCCTCCCCTCCTCCCCCTCCTCCCCCTCCTCCCCTCTCCTCCCTGCGTTTCACCCACCCAGTACACCGTTTCGTGGCCCCATAGGTAGCTCCACCGAAGGCTCCAGTGGCTGCGTTCGCATGGTGGCCTCGGGCCATTTCGGCACACCCCTCACGAGGATCGTGGCCCCATAGGGAGCTCCACCGAAGCCAGTGGCTGCGTTCGCATGGCGGCCTCGGGCCATTTCGGCACACACTTCACGAGGATCGTGGCCCCATAGGGAGCTCCACCGAAGGCTCCAGTGGCTGCGTTCGCATGGCGGCCTCGGGCCATTTCGGCACACCCCTCACGAGGATCGTGGCCCCATAGGGAGCTCCACCGAAGGCTCCAGTGGCTGCGTTCGCATGGTGGCCTCGGGCCATTTCGGCACACCCAGAACAGCATTTCGTGGCCCCATAGGGAGCTCCACGGAAGGCTCCAGCGGCTGCGTTCGCATGGTGGCCTCGGGCCATTTCGGCACACCCCTCACGAGGATCGTGGCCCCATAGGGAGCTCCACCGAAGGCCCAATTGGCAGCGTTCGCATGGCAGCCTCGGGCCATTTCGGCACACCCCTCACGAGGATCGTGGCCTCCACCGAAGGCGCCAGTGGCAGGGTTCGCATGGCGGCCTCGGGCCATTTCGGCACACCCCTCACGCAGATCGTGGCCCCATACGGAGCTCCACCGAAGGCGCCAGTGGCAGGGTTCGCATGGCGGCTCGGGCCATTTCGGCACACCCTTCACGAGGATCGTGGCCCCATATGAGCTCCACCGAAGGCTCCAGTGGCTGCGTTCGCATGGTGGCCTCGGGCCATTTCGGCACACCCCTTACGAGGATCGTGGCCCCATAGGAGCTCCACCGAAGGCCCCAGTGGCAGCCTCCCTCATGGCTCTTAAAGCCCTCTCCTGCTTCTGCTCCTCGGTCAGGGGGGCGCCGTCCTCGTCGTCGTCGGCGCCCGCGAAGACGGCCACGAACGTGTCCCTGAGCATGTCGGGCTCCGGCGGGAAGTTGTGGCCACATCGGGAGCGCGGGCGAAGATGTTATTCACAATTGCGGTAGTCACAACTGCGTATGGTTGGGTCTTTCGCCAGGCTAATTTTTCTGCATCCCTCCTCCACGCGGCAATCCGTGCACGAGAGGTATTTGCCATTCTGCAGCCCTCCTCCACACGACAACTCGCGCACGAGAGGCGCAGTCCTCCTCCACGCGACAATGTGCGTACGAGGGGAATTGTGTCTCTCTGCGCCCCTCCTCCACGCGGCAATCCCTGTTCGAGACGGATATGTCGTTATGCAACCCCCTTCACGCGGGAATTCGTGTATGAGAGGGACTTCGTCATTCAGCAGCCTTCCTCCACGCGGCAATCCTTGAAGCAGAATGATTTTGTCATTATGCAACCTTCTTGGGCTCCTCGTCGAGCCCTCTTAGGGCGCTCTGTGGGGCCCTTGGGTCTCCCTCTCGGAGGCCTGAGGGCCCTCTTGGAACCAGCTTGAAGGCCATCGATCAGACGGGGGGTGATGCCCCAATCGGGGTCTGAAACTTCACTTCTTGGGCCGCTTTTAGGCAACTCTTGGGGCGGTCGTTTCTGCTCTCGGAGCTGTATTTCGCTCCTGCTGGATCCCTTTGGAGGCCGACTTGGGCCCATCTTGGAGCCGCCTTCTGGCCTTCCAAAACGATCAGAACCGACACTGGGAGGAGGCACGCATCATAATGTTTCGAACGCTTCGGAAGGAGTTTGGTTTCTGGGAAGTTTCCCTGGGGGGCTGGGATGGCACTGCGGGCCGTCGTGGGGCGGTATTGGAGGCTTTTGGGGGGCGTGTTGGAGAACAGTTTGGCACACTTTGAACGATCTTTGAGGTCCATCTTTGGGCTCGTGGGGGCCTTCTTGGAACCTTCTGGGGCCATCCTTGACGTTCGAACAGCCTGCCGAATGCCTTCGTCCAGGGGGAGGGTGTAGGGGTAGGGGGTGGGGGAAGGCCCCCGCCCCGAAAGGGATGAGGGGAGAGCCGTTGGGACTCTTCTTTGTCATCCCTCGTCCGTTTCACTCGGCGGGTCCCACTTCGGCCTCATTCTCCGTCGTCTCGGGCGTCTTCCCCATTGCTTATGGTGTTGGTGATGCCGCGGCTGATGTTGCTCGGGGCCTTCGTTTCCTGGGTTGTCTGAAGCAGACTGCCACTCACATGAGCATCAGCGCATGCCGATGGGGCCACGACGGGCGCGAACGAGCGGGGGCCACGAAGGGCGTACATAAATGGGGCCGCGACGGGCAGCGAGGAGGCCGCGAAGCGCTGCAACGGGGCCACGACGGGCAGCGAGGAGGCCGCGAAGGGCTGCAACGGGGCCACGAAGGGCAGCGAGGAGGCCACGAAGGGCTGCGCTGAGGCCACGAAGGGCAGCGAGGGGGCCCCGAAGGGCTGCAACGGGGCTACGCAGGGCAGCGAGGGGGCCGCGAAGGGCAGCGAGGGGGCCACGAAGGGCTGCAACGGGGCTACGAAGGGCAGCGAGATCCCGATTCCTTTGTAAGCTGTGAGGGAGTCCTAGGCGTGAGCACGACTCCTGGACGCCTGAGTGTGGGGAGCGCGGCGCTTGAGTAAATTGCGGGGGGCTCCAGCGCGAGATTGCGATTCTTGAATAAGTTGCAAGCAAGTCTCCGTCTAGAATGCGACTCCAGAGCGCCGAGAAGGCGATTCCCGAATACATCGTAAGCAAGTCCCTAAACAGAGCGCGATCCCTGAGTAAAATGCAAGAAAATCTCCGGCGGGAGCGGAGGTCCTGGCTAAATTGAGAGGAAGTCTCAGGCGGGAGCCGTTGTTGTTGTAACCGGGGGGCCATGGGCGCAGTTTGACCCTTGTGATGTTTTCTTACACAAAAGAGGGCGCGAACCACGGGGGAAACATTTCAATTGAAAAACACACTAGTCACTGGAGGGGGGTCAACATTATTTGTTTCCCAATCGTGGAAGTCCAACAACAAAAATAACTATAACAACACCACCAACAACACCACCAACAACAATATAGTTGTTTAGGCTGTTCGCTCTTATCCCTTTGCGTGCTATTCAACACGTATACCCCAAACCCTCGATACCCGCCCTTTTCGTCTTCGGTCGTACACCCGTAGGGGAAATCTGTGTTTCCTGGAGCGTGTATTTCGAGCAGCCCTCAAGGCAGAGGCACGCGGGTTGCTGAAGCGTGCGTCCAGCATGCATCGCGAGGAAGTCTCCAGCGATAGCGCGTTTCCCAAATCAATCGCAAGGAGAGCGTTTGTCCAGGGCGCGGCTTCTGAATACATTGCGCCGAAATCCCACGCGAAAGCGTGATTCCTGATACGGTGTGAGGAAGCCCCGCGCGAGAGCGCGAGTGGGGAATACATGGTGAGGGAGTATCAGGTGGGAGCCGTTGTTGTTGTTGTTGTTGTTGTTGTAGTTGTTGTTGTTGTTGTAGTTCGGGGCCCAACAACGCAGGTTGGAGTCTCCTTCACTTCCTCTTGTAAACAGGGTGCGAGGCCCGCAAGAAGCATTTCGACTGAGTCATACAATGGTTACTGGAGGGGTGTCAACAACAATTATAATCGTCAGGAGTGATAAAACAACACCAATAACAATAATCACTTTAAGACTGTCCGCTCTTACTGGTACGCGTGTCTTGCATTCTGTATAACCCTCATCTATACCCGCCCACTTCGTCTTCGATCCCACCCCCATTTCGGGGGGGGAATATCTTCCTTGTCGGCCATGAGGTGCGAGGAAGTCTAGAGCGAGAGCACCGTTCCTGAGTTCGGGGGCCTCTCTGGCCAGGGGCTCTCGGAATGCATGTTGAGAAATTTCGAACGGGAGCCCTTGTCGCCGTGTCTGGGTTTGCGGTAACTTGCCTGAAGTACTAGAGCTCGAGCGAGAGCGCCACTCTTGAGTTCGGGGGCCTCTCTGGCCAGGGCCTTTGGGAGTACATCTCGGGGAAGTGTCGAACGAGAGCCCTTGTCGTCGTAGTTAGGCCTTCACCAATTTGACCAGATCGCGAGAAAGTCTCGAGCGGGAGCGCCGTTCCTGAGTTCTGGGGCCTTCCTGGCCAGGGGCTTTCGGAGTAAATCGTGAGGACGTATCGAGCACGAGCCCTTGTCGTCGTGGTTGGGCTTCCACCATCTTGACCGAATCGCGAGGAAGTCTCGAGCAAGAGCGCCGTTCCTGAGTTCGGGGGCCTCTCTGACGAAGGTGTCTCGGGGTAAATTCAGAGGAAGTATCGAGCGGGAACCGTCGTCGTTGTAGCCAGGCCTCCAAGGGCACACATTTACAATCAAGCCCGCGCTCGAGCGGGAACCTCGTCTTCAAAGGAAGAGCAGCCGGCGTCCAGGCGAGAGCGCGCGGAACCGTTTCCAGATATCAACAACAGTTATTCTCCAGCACTGAATATTCAACAACAACAACAACAACAACAACAACAACAACAACAACAACAACAACAACAACAACAACAACACCAATTGCCCCAGTGCGATCCTACCTAGAAGTTGGAGCCCCTAGGAAAGCAGAATTAGTTGCTATGGTATGCCATGCTATGCTATGCCGTGCTATGCTGCGCTATGCTATGCTATGCAATACTATACTATGTTATGCTGCGCTATGCTATGGTATGATACGCTATGCTATGCTAAGCTATGACATGGCATGCTGCGCCATGCTATGATAAGCTATGCTATGATCTGCTATGCTATGCTATGTTGTGCTATGCTATGCTATGTTATGCTAAGCTGCGCTATGCGATGCTATGCTATGATATGATGTGATTGACTATGTTATGATATGATATGCTAATGCAGCGCTGCGCTATGCTAAGCTAAGCTAAGCTAATATAAGCTAAGCTAACCCTCCAGGCAGACCCTAGGTAGGGAATTATGCTGCGCTATGCTATGCTATGCTATGCTATGCTGCGCTATCATATGCTATGCTGAGCTATGCTATGATATTATGTGTTGCGCTATGCTACGCTGTGCTATGCTATGCTATGCTGTGCTCTGTTATGCTAAAGCTCAGCGAAGCTAAGATGAAGGCAAGCTAAGCTAATATAAGCCTGAGCTAAGATGAAGCTAAGCTAAGCTAGTATGAAATAAGCTAAGCTAAGATGAGATAAGCAACGCTAAGCTAAGGGGACGTAACTGGGGGAACCGCGGGGCAGATACTGGGGGAACCGCCCGGGGCGAGTTGCACTGCCCAGCCCTTTAAGCACACCGAGTAAGAACCCTTCTAGGCAGAGCCTAGGTAGGGAACAACAGCAACAGCAACAGCAACAACAACAACCAGAATCCGCGCTGCGGAGGCCCATTTCAGCCACGTGCCCACGGTCAGTGAATGACCGTTCGGCCCCCTCATTGTGACAAATAATTTTTCCCTGTCGCACCCCGAGGCCAGTCGGAAGGGCGGCCTGGGCGTTTCGCTTGAGGCTTCCTTACCGTTTATGATCCTGAAGCTCGCAAATTGGCAACAGCTTTGCAGATGGAGGGCGGGTTGCTTCCAAAATGTAACTCTCGCTTTGGCGCCGCGAATTATCGTCTGCAACATTTGGAAGAGTTTCACAGATTGAGGGTGGCTCCTTCTCAAAAAGAAATTCACGGATTTAGGGCGGCTCCTTCTCAAAATTGGTCGGCTTGGGCCGGGAAGTTATCGTATGGGGGGTCCCATGGACAAGCTCGCGTGGGGTGGGGATGCCGGGGCGTGGTGGGGGCGCTGCCTCAAGAGGGACCCCAAATTGGGAACACGAACCGATATTTCGAGCTCTCCGCCCCTCGAGGCCCCCAAGAGGGCCCCAAGCGGCTCCCAAGAGGCCCCCAAGAGGCCCCAATCCCAGGAAGCCCCAGGAGAGGCTCCCCAAAGCCGCCCGGCGACACTCCTGCCGATCCTCGACACCGTTCCATTAACCTTCTGCGCGTCTTCGTAGTCGTCAGTGGCGGGGCCACCTGGAGGGCGTGATGAGCGTCTGGCGGTGATGTTTCAGCGATTCGGCGCCTTTTTGGGGCTGTCCTGGAAGTCTTTGTGGCGTCTTTGGGGCCTCTTGGGCAGTGTGGCGCCCTGGAGGGGGCCTCTGAAACCGTCTTGGGGCGAGCTCTGGTCCTTCTGGGGCTGTTGTGGAGCGTCCGCAGGCCGAAAAGGCAGAATCCTACAGAAACAACCCCAAACCAACGGGAATCCAATTATCTATGTGTCATCCGGCCTTTTGTGGGGGGGCGTCGTGTAACCCTCTTGGAGCGTCTGGGGGGCCGTTCTGGGCCGTCGGGAACCCTGCGTGGAGCTCCTTCGGAGCCATCTACGTATTGCTCAGTTGCTCGCCATCCTGCTTAGATCCATGCTGCAGGTTTGGAACGATTTGTTCATTGCGCCTACGCATTCAGGTAGGCGCGCCAGGTGAGAGGCACGAGGCCCTGTAGGTGAACCCGTGCTTCGCGGCACGGAGGCGTATATAGCGGCTGGACCTTGCAGTTGTTGCCTTCAGATCAGGTAGGATTTCCTGCCGCGGAGAGCTACCCTGCAGAGTTGGGCCCCATCGCCTTACAATTGTATGGAGGGACGGGGGGCGGGCTTGGCAGGGCGATCCGTCGGAAGATTCGGATGGTGGGGGTGGGGGGTAGACGGCATTCATGCGAGCGCTCGGTTGCTTTTTTGGCAGCCCGTCGTGGACCGAGCACATGGATGTTTTGGCACGATGCAGGTTGCTCGCCGTCCTGCTTGGATCCGTGCTGCAGAACCAACACCCTGGCTCCAAAACGACGCCCTCTTGCAGCCCTTTCGGGACTATCTTGGGCCCTTCCACCGCGGCGTGGGAGCGCTCCCAGAGGGCTTCAACAGCGGTGAGAGTGAAGACACGCGAGGGAGCGCGCGCGTGATTTACCCATCATTGCTCTCGAGGGCCCTCTGGAGCCCTCTTCGGGAGCTGTTCCGAGATCATCTTAGAGTCCTTCAGCGCGGCCTCGGAGGCCGAGGGCTCCCTGAGGGCCCCAATTGTGTAGCAGTGAAAGTAAAGTCATGCGAGATAGCGCTCGCGGGACGATGACGACGATGATGGTACTGAGCATGACGATGACGATGATGCTGATGCTGATGATGACGATGCTCATGGCTATGATGATGATGGTGATGGTGATGGTGATGATGATGATGATGATGATGATGCTGATGCTGATGCTGATGCTGATGCTGATGCTGATGATACTGCTGCTGCTGCTGATGATGCTGATGATGCTGATGATGCTGATGATGATGTTGCTGCCGATGGTGCTCTTGATTATGATGACGGTGATACCGACGACGATGATGATGCTGATGATGATGCTGATGCGGATGCTGATGCTGATGGTGCCGTTGATGGTGATGGCGGTGATGACGGTGATGCGGTTGATGATGATAATGATGATAATAATGGTGGTGATGATGATGGTGATGGTGATGGGGATGGTAATGGTGGAAATAATGATGCCGACGACGACGACGATGATGGTGGTGATCATGATGATGAGTCTTACTACGATGACTCTGATTGTGTTGATGATGAGTCTTACTATGATGACTCTGATTGTGTTGAGGATCCACGTGATGATCACAATGATGGTGATGATGCTGATGTGGATGCGGATGCTGATGCTGCTGATGATGATGTTGATGATGCTGCTGCTGATGATGCTGATGAGGATGAAGATGATGATGATGATGATGATGATGATGATGACGATGATGATGATGGTGGTGGTGGTGCAGATGTTGTTTGTGACGATGGTGATTGAGACAATGACGATGATGATGATGGTGATGGTGATGATAGTGATGATGAGGATTCGGATATCGATGTTCGGAATGGCGTCTGTGAAATGTTGGCGATCATGAGCTTGACAGCGATAAATGCGTGCGACTCCTTCTGCTCTTCGGTCGGGCGACCGCAGTCAAAGTGCATACGCTAGAACTTGAGCGCGCGCGGAGCGCGCGATGGTTCGAGTATTTACATATGTACACATATGATTGGAGATCTTTCCAGTACCAGATGTTCAACTAATTCAATTTATTTAATTATTAAATTTATCATGTAACGATTATTTAAATACATTAGTTTTTTTTGTTTTAAAAAAATATTTAATTTATTTAATTTATTCAATTTATTTAATTAATTTTATTTTTTTTGTCGGCCTCCCTGGCGAACATTCTGGCGGACCTCAGATCAGCCGAATTAATTACATGTATTTAATTGCTGTGTTTGAAATAAATGAAATAAATTAAATAATGCTTCGGGCCCTGGCAATCGCCGGAAGCTCCTCCAGATAGGCTGAGAAATAAGATAAATAAATTAAATAAATTAAATAAATGAAGTAAATTTGATAAATTGAATTTGTGTAATTTATTTCATGTATTTAATTTATTTACATGGGATAATTAAATACATTAAACAAATTCTTTTTTTAAAATTTATTTAATTTATTTAATTTATTTAATTCATTTATTTATTTAATTTATTGTTCTGCCTCCCTGGCGGTCCTTCTGGCGGACCTCAGATCAGCCGAAGTAATTGAATCTATTTAATTGCTGTGTTTTAAATCAACTAAATAAACCAAATAAATTAAATAATGCTTCGGGCCCTGGCGATCACCAGAAGCTCCGCCGGATAGGCGGAGAAATAAATTAAATAAATTGAATAAATTAAAAAAATAAATAAATTAAATAAATTGAATTTATTTAATTTATTTCATTTGTTTAATTTTTAACATGGGCTAATTATTTAACTAAATTAAACAAATTCCATTTATTTAATTTATGTAATTTAATTAATTTATTTAATTTATTTAATTTATTTGTCGGCCTCCCTGGCGGACCTTCCGGCGGACCTCAGATCAGCCGAGTTAGTTTAATGTTTTTAATTGCTGTGTTTTAAATAAATTAAATAAACTAGATAAATTAAATAATGGTTCGGGTTCTGGCGATCGCAAGAATCTCCGCCGGATAGGCTGAGACATACATTAAATGAATTAGATAAATTAACTGATATTTCATGCACTTGCGCTATCAGCATGTGAACATGTGAAATATTGTTTATGAGTTTATATTTCCCACTCTGGTCTTGCCCCGCCACCCAGCTTTCCTCACTTTCCTCACTTTCCGCAGCTTTCGCTTAATTTCCCTAGCGTTCCTCACTTTTCGGAACTTTCCCCAGCTTTCCTCACTTTCCGTGGGTTTCCCCACTTCCCCCTGCGTTCCTCACTTTCCTGGGCTTTCCCCAGCTTTCCTCATCTTCCTCACCTTTCCTCGCTGTCCACAGCGTCCCTCGCTTTCCTCAGCTTTCCCCAGCTTTCTTCACTTTCCCCAGCTTTCCTCACTTCCTCCAGCCCCCCTCGCTTTCCTCAGCTTTCCTTGGCTTTCCTCACTTTCCATGGCTTTCCTCATTTTCCCCAGCGTCCCTCATCTTCTTCAGTTTTTCCAGCTTTTCCTCGGTTTTCTCCTGCTTTCCTCACTTTCCTCAGCTTTCCTCGCTTTCCCCAACGTCCCTCACTTTCATTAGCTTTCCCAAGCTTTCCTCACTTTCCCCAGCGCCCCTCACTTTCCCTTCCTCATCTTTCCTCAGCTTTGCCCAGCTTTCCTGAGCTTCGAGGCGCTGCTGAGGAAAAATTCGGCGCCGTTTTGCGAAGTGCCCCAGAGGCTCTCCGTGGCATTGTTGAGTTTTCCCGGGGTCCTGGGAAACATGTTCTGGGCTTCCCGGTGGTCCCAAAGAGCGCTAAATTGAATTAGTTGAATTAATTTACTTATTAATTAATTTAAATAACGACTTGTGAAGTAATTAAATAATAAATTAATTCAATTAATTTAATTATTTAATTAATTTAATAATTTAATTAATTCTGCGCCCTCCCTGGCGGGCCCTGATCTCACATTCAGGCGCGGCCGAATTAATTTAATTATTTAAATGTGAGCATTTAAATTAATTGAATTCGTTAAATTATTAAATTAATTCAATTAATTTAAATGCCTACACTTAAATAATTAGATTAATTCGGCCGAGCCTGAGTCTGAGAGGAGGAGGAGGAGGAAGAAGAGGAGGAAAAGGAGGGGAAGAGGAACACGGTACGAGGGCGATATGTCCGCGGGTCCGCGGGGACGCCTTTGCGGACATATCGTCCCAGAGACGCCCAAGTCCCATGTATTTGGCCCTCGTGGGGCCGCTGGGCTCTCCCTGGAACGCCCTTGGGGTCTTATTGTAGTACCTTGTCGGGTATCGTTTCCGCTCGGTCTACGTTCTTATTATTTCTCATGTTCAAACCATTTGTGGGTATCTCTTGACATTGCATGCGTGTGGACGCATCTACACGCAGCTGTGAGACTGTCAAGGGCTAGAGTTTGCTAGAACCTCAGCGCACGCGAAGCGTGCATGGTTCTGGTTGCGATATGTCCGCAGAAGCGTGTTGGCGGACATATCGTCTCCAAAATACAAAATATTATAGCCGGAGTGCAGTATCCCCAAACAGGGTTTTTAGACCCACTGCGGTTTCCAAGGTCGATTGCGTGCCCGCCTAGTGCGGGCTGGCATGGCATGTTAAAACATGCCTCCTCCTCCTCCTCCTCCTCCTCGTCCACCTCCTCTTCATCCCGAAAGGCATCTCGGAACCCAGAGTTGCGAGGATGTCTCCAGCGTAACGGGCTGGACCACCTCGCGCGCGGCATTTCGGACCCCAGAGTTGCGACGATGTCTCGGGCGAAACGTGCTGCGAGGAAGTCTCAGGCGAAACGGGCCGGACCACCTCGAGCGCGGCGTCTCAGAGCTCCGAGTTGCGGGGGCCTCCTGGTGCCTCCTGGGGCCTCCTGGGGACCTCCTGGGGCTTCCTCCCGGGCCTCCTGTGGCCTCCTGAACTCCACCTGAGGTTTCCTGAAGCATCTTGGGGCTCCCAGGGGGGATATCTAACCTGTGGCCGTTTGGGCCTCTCCAAATACAGGGGGGGGCCACAGGAGCAGGAAAAATCAACGAATCGACACCGGATGTGTATTAACTTGACACGTTCTGATAGAGGGCCTCCTGGGGCCTCCTGGGAGCCTCCTGGGAATCTCCTGCGGACCCCTGGGGCCTGTCCTGGGCGTCCTGCGGCCTCCTGAAGCTCTCTGGGACCTCCCCCTCCTCCTGCCTGCTCCCTCATGCGCATCATCCGCCTCCTCCTTCTTCTCGCGTTCTCGCGTCTTCCACTAGTTGCGACGGCGGCAGTATAAATGCAAAAACACATTGGCATTCGCCTTCCTCTCGTCCCCCTTGCATCTTGCTTATCCCCCCCCCTCCCTCTCACTCTCTGTCGCTGTCTTTTTGGTATCCTCAGCTTGCTACTTGCGCCGAAACGGCCAGGCGGCCAAGGAGCTCGCATGGTTTCTGGATGCAACCGCCATTTCAAATGTGCAGCACAGAATGCGACGCGTTCGCCCGTCTCCCACTAGTTGCGACGGCGGCAGTATAAAAAACAAAAAGACATTGGCATTCGCTCCCCTCTCGTTCCCCTACTATGGTTCGCTGTCTATGGTTCCACTACTCCGAACATCTCAATGTAGAGGAG